GCACTTCGGTTAAAGGGCAGCAGGGAAGGAGGTGAGATGGTATTTGCAACCAACCTCTGCTGCTGCTGGAACATCTAGGGCAGGGAGATGATTGATCAGTAGAGCTTAAGCAGCACTTAATTTGCTGCTATTAATCTTTCACCAGAGGCAACAGATACCGTGATCCAACACCAGGCTATTGGACCAAGATAAAAGGTGCCTACTTCTAATTTCCTTTGCTAGCAACATGGCTGAGCTTGTTGTGGTGGCGAAACCCACTCCATACAATGTGGGAAGAAGGCAAAGGAGAATCCCTTAGTTTTCAGGATGAGTGGACAGTGAGATGGAATAAGAACTGGCTGAATGGCAGATCCCAGAGGGTTGTAATCAGTGGCACAGGATCCAGTTGAGGACCTGTCACTAGTAGTGTCTCCTAAAGCTGAGTACTGTCCTTGGTGTTGTTTGACTTGTTCATCAATGGATAAACATTGGATGAAGGGTAGATGCCTCCTCAGCAGCTTTGCTGACAACACAAAGCTGGGAGGAGTGGCCAATACCCCAGAGGGTTGCGCAGCCCTTCAGAGGGACCTTAACAGACTGGAGAGATGAGCAACGAACATCCAAAGTTCGACAAAGGGAAATGCAGGTCCTGTGCCTGGGGAGAAATAACCCCACCCACCAGTACAGATTGGGGGTGTCCTGCAGAGTTTGACTTTTACCAGGATAACTGGAGAGTGGACTGGAGAGCAAGATGAAATTGAACCAGTGTCTGGCTGGAGGGAAGTTGGCCTGACAGGAGGAGATGAAGCCATCAGAGGTATATCCTCTGTCTTGAGCTGGCTGAGACACTTCATGTTTGTTTTTATAGCCTTAAGCAGGAAAAAAAAGACTAGTTATTGAGAAAAATGTGCCATATGCTGTTGCATATGGCTGAAACATCTGCATATGTACCCAGGGATCTGACATATGTGATGAGCTGCTGTTATAAATCTAACAGTGAAGGAATTATCTTTTGGAATTTTTTTTAATTCATTTTTTTAAACTACCTCTAAGGCTCTTTGAAGGAAGTCAGCCTCCTGGCTTCATCTTCATGGGTTTTGATGGAACTTGCAGAGTCCAGTGAACATAGAAGGTACAGTTGTTTGTCTAAGAGTTACCAATACTCCTGCCATCCCCAAGGATGTCTGAAGGCAGAGCGAGTTGTCCCAAACTCCTCCATTAACCTTTGCTAACCAAGTAAGCAGCAGAGGAATGAAGTAGATTCAAACTAAAATCATTCAAACAACTTAAACAGATATTTTTTCATCTTCCATCATCCTTTTTGCCTCGGCTGATTCCTATGACTCATGAAAGTAACAGAATATAAAGAAATCAGAATGTACTGTGTTTCCAATAGTGACATTGTTAAGGTAAAGAATTTAATATAGTTACAAAAATAAGATGGACAAAAAAATCTGTATTCATAGTTCAGATGAAATGGAACCAAGGCTATTGCTTCTCATGCTTAAAGATGTCATTGATAACCCTGCTGACTAGTTAATCCAAGACACCCAGGAGTAGTGACTGTAGGAGATCTGTTCATCATATATGAAAATTCTTCTGTTTTCTCCAAAGTTAGTGTCTTCATCAAGAAGGAGTTCATGAAACACTGATTTTGTGTTGTGTTCATACTGCACCCAGCATGATGGAATCTCCCATCCTGGAAAAAGTTGTTGGACAAAAAGGATTAGGATTAGGGAAAATACCACATTGGGTAATGAAGTGATATTTGTCTAGTTCCCCACTGAGCTAGATGCCATAGGGATCTGAGACACAGGGTGTATCTGGACAGAGAAAGAGAGCTCTTCATGAGAAAACAAAACATTCCAGCTCATTCAGTTGAACTTGTGGAGCAAAATTCTCAATCATATGTAAGTTCCCCTGAACTTTTAAGTCAGAAGTCATAGAATCACAGAATCATTTAGGCTGAAAAAGAGCCCTAAGATGGCCAAGTTTAGCTGATAACCCAGCACTGCCTTGCTCGCCGGTAAATCATGTCCCTCAGTTCCCCACGCACAAGTCTGTGGATCATTGTTTTTTCCACCTCTCAGGTGGAACCACTGAGCACCTTTGTGTGTTTGGGTCCCTTAAATTTGCAGGTTTTGCATTTGCTGCAGGGAATTGCCTGTGGGCTTAGATGGGGTGAGGAAGTGACAAAGAGATTGGAGGTACTTCCAGGCTCCTGAAATGCTGCACTTGTAGGAGTGCCCAGAGGGAAGCAGTGAATGAAATCTCCTGATAATGGGGAGTTACCTCTTAATTCAGTATTAAAATTATCTATTTCAATGTTGAATCAACATTTAAGAAAAATCAATGAAAAACAGATTGTAAAACCATTTGATTTGTGGATGGTCTTGGGTGACAGCTACTGAAAAATGAAAGAAAAGAGCCCAGACTGAAGCCCTGTGCTTCAAAATAACACAAAGTAAGAAATAATATGTCATCAGTTCGTTCAGTAGTGCTTGCAACATGCTCTTTGTGCCAGAGATATGAGAACATAAGATTTCTACAGAAGGTTTCTTGGATTGCAAAAATTCCTAGATACGGCTTGAATTATGTGCCAATAGCTCAACATTTGTGGAAAGTGTCATCTAATTAAACTAGAATTTTTAAGTACCAGACAGCATGAAGACCAGTAATAGGAGAACAAAATCCATCTGTATTACAGATGGGATAGGCAACTCTAATAGTATGGCTTTAGGCAATGTTTAATTGAGTAGTTAAATTATCTTTTCCAGATGGGAAAATAAATTACTGCTCATCTCTACAATTTATTTTAGCTTCTCCGCTTCTGTTTTCTGAGAGAGTGGTGAGGGAGTGTGAGACATCCCCAAATATGCCCAGAATGATTTATTTACCCAATGTACCATAATTTCCCCTTCAAGGAGAATGTCTTATATTCATGTGGAAGTAGGTGTGTATGTAACTGGCTGTATTCTGCTCTTTTCTTGCAAAGAATATCTCCTAATCACCGTGGTATTAATCACAGCTGTATGTTACATACATATGTGTGTGGTTTTAAGTATACTCTTTCTAAAAAAGCAAGAGAGAGGATAACTGGTTCACCATCCTTCAGTCAAATCAGGAGTGTGTACCTCAGTGGAGCCATGCAATTTGCCTAAGAAGTTTTCCAAGCTTTGGGACAGCCTGAAAATCTTCACATTGACTCAGCATTTTGTAGAGTGAAATTATTTGTGTCAACCTGAAGACTGTTACTCCTCAGGTTGCCTAAACTCAACCAAATGAACAGACAGCAATGCATGATACTCTGTGTCGTACAGGGGAGCAGAACTGAAAATGTTGGACAATTTCAGTTGCTTAAGTATTGGATCCATGTGATTCCATCTGCCTGAATATTTTCCGTGGTCGAATGTCTGCACACAAGCATAGCCATGCTAGAGTATGCTAGCTTGTGTGCTTTATGCTGGCTACAGCAGAACATCTGGTGTTCCATCCGGGGTGGAAATTTCTGCCCCAAAGTCAGTCCTTGGAAAGTCTTGACCAGATCTGAGCTGGTTGGTTGGGTTAGTACCTGACTGCTGGGCTGTGTTGTGTGACTGTGATGTTTTTGATCGAGTGCTCTGAACCGAAAGACAAATTTCTCACATCTTGCAGAACTACAACTCAAATCCCCCATGATGTCTCAATATTTGTGAATGTAGTAACAGGTCTCTGTGCATGGCAGACAGCTGGTCTCAGTCTGACCCTTTCCAAACAAAATCATGACTTGCTTTCCAGTTGGTCACATCCCAGCCGTGGGTCTTGGCTGTGGGTTGGATGAGAGAACTATGTTCCCCTTGTGTGGCCTGAAACTCTGCTGAAATTCTGGGGGACAGAGTAGGGTGAAGTAGGTTTAAAAGCACTTGGGGAAGAAAAGCTCTGTAGTAGTGCAGGAGAACCTTGTTGCTATTGGAGTGTTATTACCTCTGAGAATAACTAATGGGGCTAGAGAAAATGACTTTTAAAATTACAGGTGGTCTATTTTTACCCTTGGTAAAAGTTTTTTCCAACAAAGTTAATAAAATTGATTTAATGACTATGGATGCTTATTGCTCAGAAGCTCCATGGGTTTTAGAAGATGCCCTCAGGGGAAAATGCTGACTGGAAGAGCAAAGGGTGCAAAGTAGATACCTCAAATGTTTCTCTCCAGACATGTTGAGTTCAGAGTGCTTCCAGGCTGTAGAAGTGCAGCATGGTCAGCGTGAGCCCTGAAAAGCTCCTTTGCTTGGTGTGAGTTGTCACAATTTAATTTTTAAAATGAAGGTTCCCAGATGTTTTTAAAGCTACTTGGAACACGAATTTAACACACACAGCTTGTGAAAGGACTTTACTAGCCCACTGCTTTTCAATAAGCCTGTCTCTCTTAGACCAGTCCTAGTTTAGGGCTTTCAAGCAAACAGCCCTAAAGAACTTCTCTGTGGCAAGGATCAGTGCTTTGAGGGGTGGCTACACTGTAAGGATGAAACGCTTGTTTTACACTCAGGACTATGTAGAACAGTAAATGTATATTTTACTGCATGTCTCTACACATCCACCAGCGATGCTCCATATTGCAGTGCTTGGAGGGTTCAGAGCACTGTGTACCAACTCAGACAGGCACTGACCCAGGCCTGGTCAGGCCTCATGCTGGCAGGCATGGGGCATGTGCAGCTCTCCAAGGAGACAATGCCAGGAAAATACATAGAACAAGTGGCTGAGGCTCCTTAAACACCACCTCCATCTCCCCACAGTCAGGCTGCTTACAAGTGCGCCTTCCCCACTGCTGTGGTCATTTTTTCCACATGGAGCATCACCTGTTGTCTTTGAGAACCTGAATGTGCCTTCTGCAAGCTGTGCCTGGTACCGAAACAAACAGCACAGTGCTGGGTTCCTGTTTTCTGCTCAGTCGCCCAATCCATCTACCTCCCATTGCCTGGGGGTTTGACCCACCTCTGAGCCAATTGTTATCTCCTGATTTTGTGTGATGACCTAGAGTTTCTCAGGGGCCAAAACATCATCTAAACAGAAAAGGCAGTTTGACTTTAAAGTAGATGCACACCCATGGCATTGCTTCTCTATGCTTGCTCCTCAGCATCCCCATTTTAGTTCTTGCACCCTAATTTAAGCTCTTCTTATCATTGTGCTGTCTCACATCCCAGGTGAGAACAAAAGTTCATATGCTTCAGTTCATAACCCTGCCCTTTTTAGTGACATTTCAAAGAAATCAGTGTAGTGACACAAGTGATTTTTTTATTGTGTTGTAGGACTGTATTTTATGCTCTGAAGGAACACTTACTTCACATAAAAGCTTTGACATTTTTATAGAAATGGCTATAACTGTGTTATTCTATACGAAAAAGAGTTTATTAAGCCTAGATCTGGATCTCCTTTCATGTTATGCAAATTACTAGTAACAACCCTTCTTCATTGCCAGCTCAGTGCCCAGGCTAGGGTTATTAAATCTCCCTTCCTTCAGTCTGCATCTATCAGTCTGCCACATTAGGCTGCAACACATCATCAGAATTCATAAAACTAGCCCAGGCTTGTACAGGGATATGAGGCTGCAAAATTAAAACCCAAGTTGCAGGACACGGTGGTTTTTAGCCTGTTGTGAAAGGAGGGAGCTGAGGTATTTTGGGGCATGGTGTGTTGAGTGAGACATAACAACATCTTTTTTACTTGTGATTATGAAAATTTCATAACCACCATATAGTGGGGGACAGAAGTAAGGGTTCATTTCCCTCTCTGCTCTGCCTAGATTATACATCCTGCTTTTTGTATTTTCGGGAGTAGTTTCCACTGTGTTCCATCCAGATGTGCAATCAGTCCCTACAACTCCTTGCTCTGCTCTCATCTTGGAGCTAGCTACAGTGGGCTGGGGTGCCTGTGACTCCCAAAAGAGCTGGGAAGACGTTACTGCATTCCGAGTGATGTTTAGACTTTCACACTAGTACGATGAATCTTATTTCTCTGAAAAATCTTTGGGTGCGGTGGAGATTTGTTTGGGGGTTCTATGAAACACTAGAAGTTTGAAAGAAATAAGGACTTTTGGTTATATAAAGTCAACAGACTAAAAAGTAGCCATCCCAGACTCATCTGTTGCTGGATAGTTGGGGTCAGTCCCCTGGGAGGCACACTTGAATTAAACTTTAAAGGTGTATCCCAGAAGTAAAGCCCATTTCTCCTCAGTCTGGGATGACCACACAACCACTGAAACTGAGTAAATGAGCTGAGGACAATAGTTGTTTCTCTGGCTTCTGTATGCTCTGAAAATATCAGCTGAATCAAGTCCTATTGGTGAGAAAAGTAAAGGAAAACCTTGTTTAGTGGATATGGATGGGATTTTGTGTGGGCTAAACACCAGCTGTTCAGCATCTTTTGTGGATGGATCTAGCCTAACTGATCAGAAGTGGCATCTGCTGAGTGAGATAATACATATCTGAGGGAGTTCCTGGCCATCATTTTATGGACAAAAGGGAGAAGAAAAAGGCATTCCTGTGAGTTTCATTTTCTTAACAGGGGAAAGTTATCAGTGTTCTTCCCAGGGCAGTTCCAGGAACTGTAATTACTCTTTTGTGTATCAAAGGAGAAGGGTTTTTACACCTGACCTAGTCTCTGGGTAGGTGAGATATTCTGTCTTGGGAAATTGTCACCTTCAGGCTGGCTGCTCTCACACAGCTAATGCAAAGCACAATTTTCCCCTGCAGTGTAGTTGTAGCAACCTGCCAGTGTTCACCCAAGGCAATAGCAGTTTTCTCTATTTTTGTAGCCTTTAAGTCACTCTCTGGCCCGACGAAAAGTACTAATGTAGATTCTTCAGAGCTCAGTCTGATTTCTGCTATATAGTATTAACTTAATACAAAAAGAAAAGTATTTGTATCTCAGCAAAACACATAATAAAATTAATTATTTAAATACAGGGTAATTACCTGTAATGAAGTCTGTATTGGTGTGAGCATTACCAGGTCCTTCTCTTTCTGAACTCATTCCAGCCTTTCGTTGCACCCCTGGGCCGTCCCCCAGTCTGCTGCAGAAAGGCTGTGATGTGCACCATTTGTCCAAGTGCAAGGACAGCCCCAATGCAAGGACATGTGCTGGGGACTCTGCTGGTGCTGGGTCCTCACAGGAGCTGGTGTGGTATGGGCCTCTGTTCAGGTAGCTCACTGATGAGGAGAGCAAGTAAGGACTACAAAGCTGCAGTCTGGAAAGGAAAAATAGATGCTAGGTTATAAAATATTATGCAGTTAAACTAACAGCCCCCTTTAACAACCAGAAAGAAATTTCTTTGATGATGGCTCAGCTGTGATTCCTTCTATACTGAAATAATTTCAGAAAAGTGTAGCCAGCTTCTAGAAAAGGCTTAAAGCACAGGATTTAATGAAGCAGAGTTAAATAAACCTCCAGACCCAGACATCCTTTCAGGGCTGCCGGATAGGCGGAGCTTTCCCGGCACCCCAAGCCAGATCCGGGGGTTCAGCACAGTAATGCTGAACACGGGAGCCCACAGACGGGGATTGCGAACAGGTGTGGGTGAATGGGATGGTGCCAGGTGGGCTCCTGGCAGCGGATGCTCATTCCCTGCTGCGCAGCTCCATCTAGGGGCTGCTGCCTGCTCGGGAGCAGCCGGAGCGCAGCATCTCCAAGGCAGGATTCCGGAAAATTGGCTGCTCCTAGCAGGGAGATCCTGTGGCTGCAGGAGCCCAAGACTGTGCCGTCTCCGGAGCTGCCCGCAGCCCTGCTCGGGAGCGGCGGGGAGAGAAGGACTTTGTCATCTGATGGTGCGGCAGTCTTGGCACTAGCAGGGGTTGAGCCTGGGAAGCACAAAAAGGATTCGGTGTTTTCGGCAAGCAGAGGTGACTACTCTTTGCAATGGCACTGGACACGAGGCTCTTAGAAGCATCCACTTTTCGTCAGGTCTCTTCTCGAGCTTAACCTGATTAAATTTCTTCAGTGAAAGGGTGGTCAAACATTGGAAGAGGCTGCCCAGGAACGTGATGGAATGACCACGCCTGAAAATGTTAAAAAAAATGTGCAGATGTGGTGCTTGGGGACATGGTTTACTCAAGGACCTGGTAGTGTTGGGCTAATGGTTGGACTTGCTGATCTTAGAGGGGTTTTTCAACCTTAATGATTCTGCAATTCTAAATTAACTCAGGTTTACCTCGAGTTAAGCCTCATTTGATGCGATTCACTCTGGTTTCCTGATCCTCATCCCTGTGGTGAAATGTGCTGTGAAATCCTGGCTGGGAAGCAGGCTCAAGGGCACCTGCAGCTCCCCCTCAGTGGAGGTATTGCTTACAGGGAGGAACGGAACAGCGGCAGCTGGGCTCGGGGAACACAGCAGCCAGGCACCACTGTGCCTCTCTGAGCTCCGGCTGAGGTGAAGCTTTGTTGTCTTCAGGGGCACTTCTTTTGCAGGCAGTAGTGACCTACAGTTAATCAGAGTAAGGCTTGAGACGCTGACAGGGCAAGTTTCTCGTATGGTTTTCTTTGTTGAACTACATCGAAAGGACTTTAGTGAGGGTCTCTGAGGAGGATCTTGTTTTCCAGCTCTTCAGGGAGGCTTTGCATTGCTCATGTCCCATGAAGCCTCTCAGGTGGGAGGAAAACACATGAACGATGTTGTGCTCTGGGAAGGAGTGGGGCATTGCAGCCTTCACATGTGGCATGAAGGGAGTAAAAAAAGGCAGACCCTGTGGCATTGTGCATTATCCTTTATAGAAGAGGTAAACCTAAAAGCATGCAGATTCTGAATGCCTAACATAGGGAAAGGGCTGGGGAACTGTGAGTGAAAGTGCTCTGCTCCAGGCTTGCTGGAGAGCTGATGAGTGGTAATATATGATCAAAGACTAATTGCCTTCAAATAAGAGGAAAACCAGTTCCAGGCTAGCTGACAGGGAACCTGCTGGCTCTGTCTGATGCATATTCAGAAGCACATCAGTAGAGAGAGTCAGCACATAAAGTCAAGGCTCCTAAGTATTTTCTAGTTAATGATCCCACGGGAAAGATCACAGTTTTGCCATAGCAGTGAAAAGAACACCCTAATCATTGAGTTTACAGGTAATCACAGTTACATCATACTTTGCCATTTTCCAATATATCTGAATAATTTTGAGGGGGTCCTTCTAAGCTGAAGAAGAATTGGCCACAAAAAGAGACCTTTCCTGCTCTGTATGCAAGAGTCAACATGTCTTAACATGACGTTTCATTAAATGCCAAATTCCTACTAACATCAGCAGTAACAGTAACAAGCAAAGGAAAGACCAGCAAAGAAACCATCTTCTAGCAAGAAAGATGCAGCAAGATTCAATGAAATGTGAATATTATTTATTTAAAGAGTGATTGCCATACTATAGGTGGATGACAGTAAAACAGGAACATCTGTCACCTGGCCTGGAGCTAATGCTCCCATGCCCATGTCCTGTCCTCTATGTAATCAGTGCTGCAGCCTTGAAGCAGAGCTTTTAGTGTTTTATATTTTCCAACATGCCTAATTAGCAACTTTAGTAATTGTCTGTAAATTTTGCCATGAGGGGATAGAGCAGAGACCTTTCACACAGCACCAAATGAATAACTACTGTGGACCTGCCACTACTACTGAAGCTGCCAGTTCAGTTCTGGATGAGAGAGAAGAAGAGGCTGCAATCCTCTGGTGTAATGATGAAAGGCCTGACAGAGGGAAAGTGCTGTTTTCTCATTTTCACGCAGAGAAACAGGAATGTGTGCATGTGTGGGGAGGGTACTCATGGACAGAGAGGTGAGTCAATGGAAAGTTATAACAGTGGAAAGCAAATAGAATCCTGCCCAGACTTCTGCACCTTCAGGTCCTCCAAGGCTCTCTGTTCTTCAGCAGTTTCTCAAAATATACAAGTGGCTACATGCAGACCAATTAGAGGAGCAGTGATGTATTTGGCTGTGCACTGAAAAGACTAGGGGTAATAAGAAGTCTTCATCTGAGAGGCCATCCTGTCAAAAGAAAAGGCTGAGAAACACTGGTCTCTGCAGTTCACAGGGCGCTTTGACCCCTTCATGTCTCCCTGTGACTGCATCCCATCCAGCCAAGGTCTGTGAAGTAGTGTCCTTCACTGCCTGCTAGAGAGCCACTCTAACAATCCTATCTGTCCCCATGTTCACCAAGAGGTCTTCAGTAGCAGGCTTGAGTTTTTGTCTCTTTGTTGTTAGTTTATGTAAAAAACAGAAAAAAAAAAAAAAAGCCAAAGTCCTGAAAACCTTCAAAAGCTTCAGCTGTGAGTTTTAAAGGCTGTAACTTGTGTTCCGGGTGAGGTCTCAGAGGAGCTTCAGGCAGGGTTTCCACATGCCTAAGAAGAACATCACTAGTTCTGGTGTGTAGAGGAACTGGTGACTTTCTCCTATCTTTTTGATATCCAAATATGAAAATCTCCAAAGCTCCAGATTTTCATATTCCATATCCTTCCTGTGGTTAAAGACAAAACAGATGTCCATTTGCATTTTTAAAGTGTAGATATGAACCATCCTCATAGATAGTTGTACAGCAACTGCTGCTCAGTGACACATGCTGCACTCCCCTTTTTCCCAAGCAAAGCTGTAATGGATGCTTTGGATACAGCAAAGCACCTCACTGAGAGCCTTCCCTGAGTGAGGACACCCTGTTGATTCACTCTGCAGCATCTTTTGGTAACTTTCTCCTCCTTATGCCTAGTGGGAAGGCTGGGCAAAGGGAAAAGCCTGACTTGCAGCTCTCCATCCTTCTTGGTGGAGGAAATATAAAGCATGCTACTCAGTAAATTATATCTATATATTCATGGTGTCCTTTGAGCAGTGTTTATTCACCTGAAAACTAAGGCTTCTGGGTGGATTAAATGTCTTTTGGGTGAGTACTGGATCCAAACAAATAACTTCTGTCACTGTAGCTGACCTTGGAGAATTTTATTAGTTAGTTAAGATGACAAATGCAAAGGACAGGACTGAAGCCACAGTGTCAGTTAAAATTTGGCTATTCTATTAATTAAGTCTGGCTTACATCCTAAGCTACTGGTATCCGGTATGGCTATAAGCGTATTACCATTCATTTTACTGGAGAATGAAAATAACATCACTATAATACTGATGGATGGCTTCGTATGTAACAGGTTGGTGGGAAAGCTGGTAATTTTATAAAAGTTTATAAATTTTGTTGTGTGGATGACCCAGTGTGCTGGATCTCTGCAATGCTTTCCAGGACACAGGATGAACAGGGACGATTTTTTGTGTCAGCTGCAATGAAAATAAAACAGAGATTTTCAGGAACTGTGAGAAAGGGAAGCAATATTCATGTAACTGAAGTTGTGAAGCTCATCAGCAATTCTTTACTTTTAGGACTGTTTCAACAATGAAATGACAGGTTTTTAAATCCTCCCAAACAATGCAGTCATATAATATAATATCACTATAGTATCACATATAGTATCACTAATTGTTGTATTATAGTATTATTTGCTCCCAAGTGTTGCCCTTTTGTTCAGCCTTCTGATTGCTGACAGATAATTTCTTGCAGTTTCTCACACTCTGTTCTTGTAAACAATGAATGTTTTGCATTTCTCTTTGGAAGAAGAGAGAATTGATGGACTGTTGATGGGACCTATGGGGTCAGGAGGTAAGATCCTCACTGTCCAATCCATGGTCACTGTTGGAATTCTATAAATAGACATGAAATGTAAGTAAAGTGGCCTCTTTTCCTGCTTGGTTCTTCGGAGTCACTAGTGTGAGTGCCTTTCCTTCTGTATCATTTGGTGACAGCCAAGCACTGTCTTTTTTAGTTTAAAGTACTAGTTTAAAGCACATGTGTATGTATTTGTTCATATCTATTAATCTCCTTTCTAAACCAAAACTTTCTGCTTTTTGTCTGCAAACAGCATCACCCTGTTTTTGTCAGACCTGAACTGCTGAGGAAGGTGGTAATATAACCACTTGGTCAACCTGACGGCCAGGAATGTCTTCTACAACAGAAGGGAAGCCACATGGGCATGGCTATGACCCTGCCCCTGCAAAGGACCCTTTCCCTCTTATTCTCCACTAAGACTGATCTGAAAGACAAAGGGGAATGCTTCACACCAGCCCCTTCTAAAGAACAGGGGAATGCTTTACATCAGCCCCTACTGAAGAACATACTGGAGACACAAGTTTCTTCATGCTTCTTCTCACCAGCAAGCAAAGAACAGCTGAGGGCAATTCTGCTGCTGAGGGAATCTTTTGAAGGAAAAGGGCTACTAGGCATAAAGTATTACATTTCTGATTGCATTAAACAACATCCTTTTTATGAGCAGACAGAATTCAAGCCATAAAATTAATGGATGTTTCTGTACTCTGTCAAATGTGTCTTTAGATCTGTCCAGGGAACAACAGTTTTTCCAGTTTATATGTATGGGTGGAGTTGAGGAACACATTCAATGTTTGTTGCACAATCCCCTGCTATTGTGACTAAGGGATCACTCTTCCCCTACTACTCCCAGTGCACTGAGCCCTGGTCTAGAGGTTAATGTGCCAACCCCAAAACCTGGTCTGCTGATACAAGTTATTGCCTAGTTGCATTTGCTCTAGCCACTCTCTTCTTCCAGGGGTGTCTGTGAACTCAGAAACAGAACACGTTTTTTTCTCTGTCACCTCCTGGGACCTGGTGCTGCCCAGCTGTCCCCGCTCAGAGCCTGCAGAGCACTGGCTACCACATGACATATTCACTCCAGGAACAAGCCAGAAAAAGGGTGATAGGAATGGTGGCAGGTAGAGCTCATACCTGTGCCTCAGCCCTAATTGGTTTTCTAATATAGGTTCAGGTAGATTATCCTTAGAGAGTCAGATAAGGAAGATAAACACTACACAAAGAATAAATGAAGAAAACACCATATAACCCTAGATGAACAGTTTAGTGTTTCTGTGTTTGCATGTAAAAGTACAAGCATCTCCAGGTTTTCATGGTTTTCCTGAGCTCTTAGAGCAGTCCAAAGGTTCTGTATTTGTTGAATATTTTTTTCTTACAAAATTTCTGCTGTTAACTAGAAAATAATCTCCCCTTTGTGACCCTTTTGGCTAAGGTAGAAAGTGTTTGTGTTCCTCATCTTACTGATTTCAAGGAAAGCAACCATCTCATATTTCTTCTCTTCCAGGGTAGCAGAATGCCATGGTGGCTCAGGAGGGAAAGAAGAAGCCATTGTGCCATGCCGTGTGCTATATGGGACTCCAGCAAGGAGCAGGGCAGAGGTTGCAGGACTGCTGGATGGCTGCACATCGCAGGAAAAGATGAGGAAGGAGCCGTGTGGAGATAGTGACTCACACAATTAAGGTTTGGCATGGCTGAGTGGCAAGATAACAACATGATTTTACCATAAAAGGGGCAAATATGTTATTACAGTGGTATATGAGATTCAATTAAATGGCAACATCAATTAAACAGCTTCCAGAGCTTTTCTTTGGAAGCTTGCAAGGTTTTTTTTCCTGCAAAAGCTGTTCATTGAGTATCAACAATTAGTTCCCCTGCAAATGAGACGGATTGCACAGCAGAGACTGTAACACTGGGCTTCTGTTGAAAAGCTGGGTACATTTCCATCCTTTAGTGAGTATTTAAGCATAGTAGCTTCATTGGGAATGTAAATTAATAGCTTTAACATAGCATTAACCTTGGAAATGCTTAGTGCTCATCAGGCTGGAGGAGAGTGAACTCTGCAGGAGTCCTTGGACTCTCATTTGCAGCACCTATCAGTTATGATGGGGATGGTTTCTTTCAGATTTTGACCAGAATTTTTTTCTTTGGCTGGAGAAGGAATTTCAATTTAGTGGCAGGGGAGCAGAAAATCTTTAAGTGAACAAGCCTCCCTCCCAAGAGGATGACGTAGAGACAATTTGCAATCTCCCTTTCAGAGAATGCCTTGGCCCTGTGTTATTTAATTTGTAGTGTTTTGTACTTAATAAAACATCTCAATACCATAGGTTTTATTGGCTCTGAGACCACAGTCATTTCCTGGAAAGCCTCAGCCTTCATCCAAGACATTTGACAGCAGTTTTGCCATACACAAACACTCTCTATATCCCTCAAGAAAGGCACCTGTAAGCAGCACCAATAGCACCACTGTTCTGAGCTGGCAGTGAACCTGCTCAGGGTAGTTTTACCTGTAGAGATGACGACTTTGCTCAAGCCCAGCTGAAGCTGCTGCTGTGGTCCAGGTCTCAGGCTGCCCTCCATCCCCACATCCCTCTGTCCCTTCAGCCCTCAGTCCCTTCAGCCCTCCATCTTCCCACTCATACATCCCTCTGTCCCTGCATCCCTGCGTCCTTCCTTTCCTCTGTCCCTTCATTCCTCATTTCCTCCATCCCTCAGTCTCTCCATCTCTCCTTCCCTCCATCCTTCTTGTCCCTTCATTCCTCATTCCCTCCATCCCTCAGTCTTTCCATCTCTCCTTCCCTCTATTCTTCCATCCGTCTTGTCCCTTTTTCCCCTCCATCCCTTTGTCCCATCATCTCTCCCCCCCTCCCCCCCTCCATCCCCGTCCCTCAGCCGGGCGGGGCGAGCCCGCTGCAGTTCTTAGTGCCCACCGTTAGGCCGCGCCAGCACCAGGGTTGCTATGGCGACGGCTGTGCTGCTCCCCGCGCATGCGCGGCCATTGCTGCGGCTTCCGGCGGGTCTGGGGCGGCTGTGGCGTCACTATGGAGCGGTTTGGGCCGGGGTCTGTGAGCGCCGTGCCTGTAGCCGAGTTCAGGCCGTGAGTCTCAGGGCGTGCAGGAGAAGGGCCCGGGGGCGGGAGGGCTCGGCGATGGGGTGCGGGGAAGGTTGCGCGCTGGGCCGCGGCGCGCTGGGAGCGCGCCTGGCACCATGAGCACGCGATGGGGCTGCAGCCGCGGGACACCCGGGGAAGAGCGGGAGGGGAGCGGCAGCTCGGACCAAGAAGAGCCGGAGCGGGTTGAGGAGGAGGTCCCCTGTTTGACTTGGTCGCGCTGCGTAACCCTGGGCCACCCTGAATCCCGAGCGTGGAGGCTGCCGGCCGTCGGGGAAACGTGCCGAGCTAGGCTGAGCTTATACACGAATATTTGTTTTTACTGCGTAGGGAAACGATGAGAGTATGTCAGTGTAAGAAAAATATTTGTCAGCAGTGGAGTTTTTAACTTTGGTATTAAGCTGGAGGTCATCCTACTCTTCTGTGGCTAAGTGTTGATAGAATGGTTTCTAATTTCCGTAGCGAAATTTTGAATGCAGTTATGTCCTTTACCCTGATAGTCCTTCAGGCAAGCGCTAGTAAAGGAAAAGAATTCGGATGCTTTTCTTTTTTTAAGCTACATAATATGCTGCCTAAATGTATGGCAGTACACGAGCAGCCAGAAGTGCTGTTGGCTGCAGTGTAGAAGCTGTGCATGGCTGCACATAACTATCAGAGATGAGATCATTTTTTTCCCCATTTCCACTTTTTTTCCAAAGAAAAATACACATATTTGTATTTCAGTACCCTAAGGACTTATGTCTTTGAATCAGGCAATCTTTGAAAGTCAAGAGGGCCGGCTTACATGTTTACTTCAGCATAAAATAATATAGTCAGCCAGGCAGAGTGAGGGAGAACTGGTAGAAGCACAAACGGAGCCAAGCTGTATGCGGTGTTTTGTAAACACAACACTTGTTCTAGCAGGTCAAGTTCAGGGAGACCCTCCCAAGTGCATAAACCTTCATATGCCATCTCTTGTTCAAGATCTTCTAAGTTTAGGTCTGTGAAGGCAAAGTTTTGGTGTAGTGGCTCTGTGTTCTGACTGTAACTACACTTATTCCAACTTTCTCAGTTAAAAACTGAGAAATTATTTTTAAACAGAGGAAGAATACCTAATAAAAAGGAGCTTGGAGAGTAAGCTGTTAAATTCGATCTGTGTACTTCCCTTTCTTTCCCAGCCTGTAGGATTTGTCATTTTCCTGGTCTTGTAGTTACTTAAAAAAGGGAACTTGGTAAGTTTTAATGCAGGGTACTGTCATATGACATGTGCATGTGTAACTAATATTAGATATTTAATACTTATGCAGTAATGCACTGATAAACATATTAACATAACACCCAAGTTATAACGCTTGCAAACCGTAATGGGAAAAATCTAAAGATTGTTTTTAATTTTGTTTGTGAGCTTAGACTGGCCGAATCATTACCTTGTTTTGGATCCTCTCATTTTTATTGCAGCCTACAAATGCATACTTCAAGTCTTTATTGCTTCTCAACAATACACTTACTCAGCGTTTGAAAAGTCATCGGATTCTGTTTGGAACGAGTTCTTGTCCTGTTTCAGGCATATATATTGTGACTTTGTGTGTAACCTTTCTTATTTATTTCAGAAATGAGGGTTCATTAACATCAACTTTAAGAATGCTTCTGTTCTTCTCAGCTCTAATGATTACATTACCTGTTGGGCTATATTTTTCATCAAAGGCTTATGTATTTGAAGGTAATTTTGTTTCTGCCAATTAGCATTATTATTAAAAAATAGAGGAAAAGTACAATCCTCTAAAAACATTTGTTCTTCCTGTTTTGAATACTTGTTGCCATATATAGACAAAAGGTCCTGTAATGTAATTAGAACAGAAAATTATTTAGATGATCAATGTATCCTTCCCTGCACTGTGGTCTGCAATCCAAAATTTGCTGTTAATAATACAGGTTTATATTGTATATAGGTGCATTGTTTCCCTTACCTAAGGGGTATTTAACACCACCCTGCAGGAGACTTTTGTCTGAATCATCAGAGATATGCTTCCTGCAGGTATTGCAAACTAATCATGTGTTCAGAACAGAATAACATTGTTTATGAGGTTTATATTTTGCTTTTTGAAACATATGTGCGTTTAAACAAATTATATGCAATGTCAGATACTAAATGTGGTTGCTTGTGGCGCTTTCTTTTATTAAAAAAAAAAAAGAACGATCATGGCTGTTTGTTTGAACAAGCAACCATGTTGTAGTCCTGATTCTGCAAGGCTTTAATACTTACCTTCTGTGGTTCTAGGACGTTATCTCCTTCAGAAGTGGGGAGGAGGAAGGGAGAAAACAGCCACTTTTAAGTGCGGTTTATGAGCATGTAACTGAGTTGTTCTGAGATGATTCTCCTTTGGTGTGTACTGCTGTATTATAGTACATAAAAGGCTCAAAGCTTTTTAAGCAACTTTCAAGATCCTTTTTAGCTTTTTTTTTTAATTTGAGGTGTAGCAAGCTGAGCTTCAACTTCGCTGTGTCAGTTAGTGGCAAGATCTGTCAGCACGGAAAGGATTATCTTTGCAGCATTGTGGTTTTGGAGTGCTGTAATGTGTAGGTTTTGTTTGCTTTGGGGGAGACTGTTGGGTTTATAAATTAAGGGAAACAGTATTTCAGTGTTTGGTCTTGATATTTGAAGGCTTATTTTGTATGAGATGCATTCATGTATCTTAACTGGTGGGGCATTATTGTTTTACAGTCTAAATACAGAAGGTAATAGTCTTCTAAATTTAATTTTTGTTCTACTATTTTCTCCTGTTTTAGTGGCAAATTATTACAGAATTCTCCCCCTTCTTCCTCCCATCTCCCTCCCTCATTTTATTGCCCCACAAAGAGAGTTACATTTAGGAAAAAAGAATGTTGAGGTTTGTTTTGTGCTGGAAGGTACAGAAAAAGTGAATGTTGTAGAACTCTAGGCTATTGACATCAAATCTGGGATATTTTATCATAAATATTGAATACTGCAGTGTTGCTTTATTCCAGAAATAGTTTCAAGGCCTTTAACTATCACGGTGAATTCTTTACTGTGAATCGTTTTGAGCTCAGATTTTTGATCTGAGGAGTAAATGTAACTTTGGTCTTTAGTCTTTAGGAGAACTGTGACTTGCCATGTTAGAGTTCCCAGCTCATAACTAATATTCTTTACTTTCTTTGTTTTCTCAGGTTCCTTGGGAATGTCTGACAGAGACAGCTATTTTTATGCTGCCATAGTTGCTGTAGTCACTGTCCACGTGGTACTTGCTCTCTTTGTTTATGTAGCCTGGAATGAGGGTTCACGGCAGTGGCGCGAAGGCAAACAGGACTAAAATGAAGATCATCAGTGTCTGATGTCCATAGACCGTAAATCAGATTTTTTGTGAGCTAAAGGAAAAGCATTCTTCCAAATGTGTAATACACATGCACAAAGAGGAGGCTGATGCCTCAGTTGTGGTTAAAATAAGACTTGTGCTCATCTTGACTGTGTACTGGTGTTTTCTGTAATGGTGATGGAAGTTGTTCTTTAGCCAGCTTCTACTGTGTTGAGCTGAGGAGGCCTTCACTTCCATTAAAATGGAATGATTATGTACTTTTGAAAACTCCTGTAGGAGTTTTGCCATGCCTAGTATTTTTCTGGGTTGCTCTGAAAATAGTATTGGCATGAAGCAAGCATTACATTTTCAAGGAATTAAATTGCTGCTTAAAAAAGGTACATTACTTACTATCCAGCTACAGTGGAAAATAAGGAATTTCACTTTGCTGTGAATAGTTTCCTGATTTATATGTGTTGTGGTGTAACCCTAGCCAGCAATTAAGCATCATGCAGCTGCTCACTCAGTGTGACCCCTCAGTGGGATGAGAGGGGGGAATCAGGAAAGCAAAGTGAGAAAACTCATGGGTCAAGACAAAGACACCTTAATATGTAAAGCAAAAGCTGCATGCATAAGTGTGTTGGTTTTCACTACAAATTCAAACCACAGTCCCATGGTAGCTATTTTGAAGAAAACTACCTCTATCCCTACCCAAACCAACACAGTGGGATAGGCGTAAATGATCTATTTCTGTGTTTAGAAGTAATTTCAAAACCAGAATTGTTTAGAAACTCAGGTGATGTCTTTCTAATGTGTAAGATGTAAATGTAATTTTTTTTTCAAATATGTTTTTTTATTGCAGTGTAAAATTCAGTCTATAATTTCCTTTTGGCAGGACTGTGGTATTACGCACTGCTTATCTTTCTCCTCTTTACAGTTTGTCCTGATAATGCAAAGGAAAGTGCATAGAATATTTTTGTATTTCTTTAGACACGTTTGTATCTCCTTGATATTTGCTAAAGCGTGCAGTTGGATTTCCTATGGTAAAGCAGTGTCAGTAACATAAGCTGCTGTAATGGCTGGTGGGGGAAGGAGCAAGAGAAAACAAGCTGCACTTGTCTGCAGAGATGTCCTTTATGAAGCAGAGGACACAAAAATGACCACATGGAAAATTGGCTTCTCTTCATAACTACTTACTTGTATACTTTGAAATTATACAATATGTTGATTGTTTTCTTTTTTCCTTGGTTGCGCATAGCTCCTGTAGTCAAACCTTAGTGAGATTTTTGTGTTGTAAGAGAACATGAATTTCATTCCATTGCTGTGCTGTTGTTGGCAAGCTTTTTAATCTCTGGCTGGAGCATTTTTCTTAAAGTTCCAGTAAGGTAAACTTTCTTAACCCTGATGATGGCTGTTAAGCTGTTGTGCTTGAGGTCATTCTGCTAATCTGAATTTTCCAGTTTCTTGTATTAGTTTAGCCTTTCTTGTAAGTGTTTTGCTTGGCATGGTTTTGGTGCTGCACGTGTCTTTGGCAAAACTTATGTATAAATGAGGGAAAAATTGGTTATCATTACCCAGTTGAGAATTATGTTCCCAAGCCTCATTCCTGTCTTGTCCACCCCAGTCCCAGGTGTGCACAAGCATATGCACCATGGCACACTGATGCACTTCATTCCTGCTGTGTTACCTTTTCTCATCCAGAGCCCTGTTATCAGGTTGCTGCTGGCGAACTGGAGAATCTTCTCGGAGTATTTGAAGTGCAATGTTAGTTTGTACATGGGCATACTGGCTTCCTGTTCTCCAGTATATGAAGTGTACATTGTGGAACAAATACTGCCTTTTAATAAAGACCTACCCTGCAATACAAGATCCAGGAAACAACGTGTGCTGAACAGTTTTTGAATAATGTCTTCAATATTCCACATGTAGAGTACAGCTTAAAGCAACTGCATAGACTGCTGAATATTTCAGCTTGTTTTTTTTATTCATAGTGGAGAATAAATGATGAGTTATACTTATGAAATAAAGAAGTTGAAGTTTATTTGGTACTAGAAGTGAGCAGCAGAAAAAATTAATGTTACAGAAGTCTATGATGTGGACTTCAAGGGGAACACACTTGATATGTTCTGTTAGCTGGATCCTGTGCTATGTCTATTATTTTTCATGTAGCAGAATCCCTAAACACAAAGTTCATTTCCAAGAAATAACATGAAAATAATTCCTTATTATAACTGTTTTGTTTTAAAAATCTGTCAAGTTTGGCCTCTGCTGTATGTGCAGGCACTGTAATGTCTCATCAGTTGGGGGTAATGAGCTGAGCATTAATCCATCTATTGGAAGATCTTTGAAGGTAATGCTTTGATCCACAACAACATTCACAGTGATAAAAGAGGCACTACTGAGTCTGCACAGCCAGAGCCAGGTGCTTGTTTGATATTGCTTGTGCTTCTGAGTGGGAATAATCACTCAAGTAAAGGGTGCAATGGAAACAGCCTGTGAAGGGTTGTCCCCCTGCAGCCCAGGGAGGTCGAAGAGGAGCATTCTCTTCCCTCCTCCTGGCCAGCAGGGGGAGCCACACTGGAACAGTCGCTTCCTGAAGCACTACCCTCTGTGGAAGGTACCCACACTAGAGCAGTTTGTGAGGGACTCTTCTGGGGTGGAAGCAGGGCAGGAACAATGTGTGAAGAACTGAACACAACACCTATTCCCTCTGTCTCCCTGTGCCAGTGTGGGGGAGTTAGAGAGCTTGGGAATAAAGTTCAGCCTGGGAAGAAGGGAGTGTTGCAGGGAAGGTGTTTTATTTCACATCACCCTACTCTGATTTGATGGGTAATAAATTAATTTCCCCAAACGGGGTCTGTTTTTCCCATGATAATTAGTGAATGATCTCCCTGTGCTTGTCTCAACCCAGGAGCCTTTTGTTACATTTTCCCTCCCTGTCCAGCTGGTAAGGGGAGTGTTAGCATTTTGATGGGCATTTGGTATCCAGCCAAGGTGAAACCGACCACATTTAAACTGATAAAAGTTGTGGAGAGAATTCTTGTTGGTTTGGTTTTTTTATTTTCTATAGAATGGTGATGTAAAATTTTTAACAGTGTGGTATTCTAAAGTGGTACTGTAAGCCTGTTAATTTTACTACTAGGAATGGATTTGAGACAACTCCTAAAAATTAAGACGACTGGGAAAACTGTCTGCCTAAATCCTTCTGTTGCCTCTCATTTAACGGTTTATCATGTGTTTGCATAGGGTGACAATTAGTTTAGCTAAAGCAAGCAATTGTATCTTAGAATGAGCAAATACCTTGAGACAGATAGTAGCAGAAATTTTCCAGAATATTTTGCAAGAGTGAATAGACAGTTCGGAAATTGGGAAGTGGGAAACAAGTGACCTTTCATTAGTTTTTGTCTTCTATACTTAACATCTCTTGTTTTTTCAAATGCCTTCAGGACACTGTGATGGTGGGTACCCAGCCTGTGAGAGTGTGCAGGTGAGTGAGCAACTTTAGTTTGTGCTTAGGGATGCCTGAATAAGTTCATTATTAACTGCCAGCACTGAGTAAGGAGTCTCCAGAGCAAATGGTGATGGTGGTGATCATGCCGTTAACAAGAATTATCATTCATTAAGGTATATGAACTTGAAACAGTCTTTATAGTACATTTGAAACAAAATAAAACACTGCCTACCTGTTTCTTGCATTGTAAGAAAGGGCCTAGTAATAACATTCAACATTAAAAAAACAAAACAAAACCCCAAGAAAACAGCCAAACACAAAAACAGCAACCCTACCCTCCAGAAGGCCCATGCTCCTGTGTTATTTTCATTCTCATTCTGATTCTGGGCAGGAGACTGTGGTTTTGCTATGCTGCTAGAGCAGCATGACAAACTAGAGGGCAGACTGTGCTGATTACTCTGATGGGCCAGGGGAAAGTGTGGTGCTCACAGAAACTATGTGCTCACCTGGTGCATTGGTGAACAATAAAATGTTTGATGTTACTTCAGTTTTGGTGGGTTTTAGCCTGCTGTGACAACTGTAGTTGAACAAAGTGTGCTTAGGTTTCTGACAGCCCTTGCAGCTGGACAGGGTGTACTGAGAGCATTAGGCAGGGGTATGGTTGGTACTAGTTCAGGTGAGTAAGAGATGGGATAGCAAAGGGCCCTTAAATAACCAACTGAACCACACATGTATTACAGAATACATATTTTGGTTATGACAAATGTAAGTAGGGTGCATCCCATAGGACAAGAGGTCCTGTGAAGCAAAGGAGTGACTTGGGAAGGTGGGATGAGGGCTGGAATGTGCTATCATGGCTTGATACATGATGGCAGAAGCACCATATGTTTTGTTTGGAAGTGTTTATTCCACTGTTTCTCAAGGGATTATGCAAAACCATTGGTCTGAAATACTGAATGTAAATAATACAAAACAGTAAGCTAATTCCATTTTAACTTTCCAACTAAAGTTATTCATCTGTTGACAGCTTAGCTGTGTGAGATCTGGGACACATTTATTCACTTTGTCTTGTATACACCAAGATTCTTACTGGCTCTGAGTCATCTCAAGATGGTTAAGCCTTTGGAGTGTAAATATTTCTTTAAAAATACCAAAGAGCAACTGCCACTCTAATGTTTCATTAGCTCAAATCAACTGTCAGTTTAAGAGTTATACAGAAGCTGCTTGTTTGAAGGTGACAGAGAGCAGAGCTTGTGTCCCTGCAAGAGGAGGCCCTTGGGTGCTTGAATGGGTCTTGCAAGAAGAAATTGCTGTGTTGATTCAGGACCCTCACAGTCATTTTCTTATATTTCTGAGCTGTTAGCATAGAGCTTGATTCTGTTTAGTTAGGAGAAACACAGTGATGTGTAACAATGTTGAGCTGTAGTTGTAAGAGAGGTAAAACTCTTGGGACTTGAGCTCTGTTTGAAACTAAGGCAGTAAGAAAGGGGATTCAGAATATGCATGTGGATTCCTGTAGAAAGCAGCTTTTTTAGGTGCTGGTCTCCCAGTTTTGAAACCAGAGAGCCAATCGAGATTCTTTTTCAAAAGGCAGGGATACAGACTGGGAAGCTTTGTGGGGAGGGATACCCATGGTAAAGAGCTAGGAAAGTTGAGTTAATTTGGTGACTGGCCGGCTGAATGCCTGGGACTTTTTACTGCTAGTTTGCTGTCATGCTTCACAACCTTTTTGTCCTACCAGCTTTGAATGGGATGTTCTTGCTGAGATGATTCCCCTGTGGGCCCACTGTTTGGAGGGGTGATCAGGTGCTTACCTGCAGCTGTGCTCTTAAAACAGTACAAATTGCTCACAGGCCTGCAAAAAAAGCTGTTGGTCCTTTTAGTTTGCACATGAGACACTGTAGTTTAATAGTTTTAGTGGAAATGGCCCAGGGCATAGGCACAGGAGGTATGTTACTAATTAAAACTGTTTGTAATTGAAGAATGATTTATGAGTGAGAGTAATAGTAGTCAGAGATTAAGAACAAATACTGCTGTGGGTGTGGGCCCATGCTGCAGGCACTGTGGAGGAGACATTTTACCTTTGCAGTTCTTCATCATTAAGATGCAGTTTTTCTTGGCATGCTTGAGTTATTAATGCAGTTCTGCTAATGTCAGAGATCGAATGGCTTCACAACTGGAATGCTGCCCATTTCAGGGGAACGAGTCTTTGATACACAGGTAGTTTTGTGTCTGACAGAGAACACAGAAGAACCCATTTTGCTCTCAAACCACACATTGAGGCCTTTCCTAGAATAATTCCTACAGAATTAGCAAGTATTGGGTGATCCTTACTGTGAAGCATTATGATAGAGCATAGAGTTTCCTTTAAAAGTTTGTTAGGTCTGAAATACAACTTTTTTCTTTAGAGTAAAGTATGCCCTCACCAAAAATTTAAACCACAGGTGATTCTGGTGATCTGGGTGTTAGAACTGTTTTGATAGCTGTTTGTGTTAGGTGCAGCTACCTGTTTAAATGTGGAGTGGCTGTAGCTCATCATCTGCAGGTTTTGCCCAGTATCCCTGAGACTTAGGTAGACACCAAATCCTGTGTTTAATACAGATTCCTCTGCTGGCCTTAACGCTTAGGGACTTCAACCCAGCTCCTAGTTTTACTTAGTGAAAAGTAGACTTTGGGTTTTATATTTGAATTATAATGGCCTCTTTGTATATAATAATGACTGACCATTAAGCCAGTTCTTTTATTCCTGTCTAGCATTTATTTCTAACCTGCTACAGTTCTGCAAACAGCAGCAAGTCACTTACTCCTTTTAGTACTTCTTCCTTACTTTTCCTTATTAAGTGCTTTCCATAGAGGCAAATATTCCCTGTAGTGTGATATCTCTTGTGATCTCTAGTTAAGATTATGTTGAACTTTGTAGGGTGAGATGAGGCTTTTATAACACTTGGTGGTTATTTTGCTTTCCATACCCATGTATTTTCAGAATTGTTTGTTCTCTCAGCTCTGATCCTTAAGACATAAAAACAGTGATTTCAGAGGAAAAATGTTCCAGTTTTATAGACAACACTTGTATCAGTTATCTATTTGCCATGGGCCTTTGGGAGGAGTAATTAACAACACCAAGATAACAGCATGTTTCTATGTTGTCAGATACTTACTAGGTTCAGAACAGTCAAACTCTGTGGTTAAATGTAGTTTTATTTTAGCATATTACAGGACTCAAGAACATTGAGTAGCATTGGCAGTGGGATCCAAGCTGCTTTTATTTCTCCAGCCCTAAAAGAAAAATACATGGAGCCTTTCGGTAAGGAAATCTTAGAGACTCCCTCAGGAATATGTGATGGGCACAGCTCTTCAAGATGCCTGCCCATGCCAAAATGCTGTGTTTGCTTTATATCAAGCTTATGCAAGGGGTTAATTTGAAAAGAGA